GAAGGTCAGTTGATGTAACCAAAAGGGTTAAAAATGACTAAGAAAGAAATCATGTTTCTGCACGGTGGAGGGCATACCGTGGATGGCGATCATTGTTCTGCTTGGTGCAGCCACACTGAGGAAAACCAGTCTGTACGCCGAGGGACTGGCACGAGGGCGATTGCACCGTGGAGGGAACATCGTACACCGATGAACCTCTACGATTGTGACTGCACCGACATACCAGCACCAAGGCGATTACAACGAGGAAGGCACGATGTACGCCGATGAACCTCCACAAGGGTGATCACACCGTGGAGAGCATCTTTTCCCTCCACGGTTAAGAGTCATCCAGCGTCCCAATCCCTTCCCGGTGTACTGGGGTAAAGTCCAGCGAGCAACAGTAGCCCCACAGCGACGAGGGCTTTTTATGGCCTGCATGGTGCAACACAGGATACATGGGCTGATTGAGCATTTACCCGGGCTAAGGATGAAGTCCATCGGAGGAGCCATACCGTGCAGATGTACCAAGCAAGGTACCCTATAGCCTGCTCAGTGCAATACATGCGAGAGCTCCCCGAGCCATGCTGCTGTCTGGACCCGATGTCCAAGGAGTTTTTGTCCTACACCGTGCATGCACATCGAGGAGGGCCACTTTTACCATGCCTGGTGCATGAGGATCCGAGCAAAAATGTACTCGATGCAGACCACGGTACACGCTGACACGCGCCACATGACCCAATGTCCTGATGCAATTACACACCAATCCCATGAGGTACACTCTTTCCATGAAGACAGCCGTAAAGGAAAAGGAGGAAAAGAAATGCTTCAAATTCACCAATGCAAAGCTCCTCTAACAGCATGGAGAGTTGACCCTTTCACAACCCCTCACCCAATTGAAAGTACACTCTTTCTTCTATTGTATATCCCATAACATAATTTTATTTCTTTTAGGTTTTGAATTATTTGTTGAATATTGCCTCCTTTTGCATTTTTATTACACAAGGATTGTATAATTTAAGTGTGGGGAAGTGTGTGTGAGACTGGCAATATTTCTTACAAATTTTTGCATTTAGCTTAAGCATTTTATTTAGGCATTTAGCATATTTTGTTGCATTTTAGAAAATCATGCATTCATCTAGCATATAAGGCATAGAAAATCCTAAAAAAATTAAAAAATTTGAAAATGTGTTTCACAAAAAAAAAGAGTGTTCATTTGCATGCATTATAGGTTGAGTCTAGTTGCATATCATTCATATTAGGTTTCTTGTGTTCAATTTGGGAACAATGATTGTTACGTCCATGTTAAATGATATTGTTTAGATGAGACCAATGCTCTTTTTTATAATTCTTTGTTACATTTGATGAGAACTTGAAATAAGTCTGAACCACTCTTGGAAGTTATGATTTGAAACTCTTGTATGAAATTGAAACTTGCTTGAAATGATCTCAGCCTATGCTTAAGAAGAACCATAATTTGAATATTGAATTATGATGTCTTGTGCATTGCATTTGTTGTCATGGATAGATTTATACATACTTGGATTTATCTTATTTTTTTATCCACTCTTTTGAATCCAAGTAGGCTTTCGTACCATTAAACAAACCTTCTTTCAATGTAAAATTTCTAGTGAGTGGTTGTGAAACATTTTCTTTATGATTGAGCTAAGTAAAAAGTGTTGGGTTTAGAACTCGAGGTAACCCTTCCATTGTAGAACTAGCTCGCCCTCTTGAGATAGATTGGCTAGATTTTTTTGGTTGATAAAGGATGGTCTGGGATTTTTATTTTGGCTTTCAACAAGGAGAAATAAGAAAGGAAGCAAAGAAGGAGTACAACACAAGTAAACTTGGAAATGGTTTGGCAAATATAAAAAAAATGGCGGCTCAAGTAAAGAAACAAAGAAATGTGCAGCATAAAGTTTATAGTATCCAAGGGATGAAAAGCACCAGCATTATCAAAGAAGAGCAAGCAACAAAAAGGATCCAACCACCAAGATGATGTTTAAAAGAAGAATTGCTTCCTAAGCACTTAAAGAAGAGAAAAAGGGTTGAGATTGTTTTGGGGTTTTAAAGCTTAAAAGGGTAGTTTAGGATGGCAATGATGGGTAGAAGTAAGAGTTTAGGATTGCTTATAGGACTTGGGTAAATCAAAGACTTCTCTTATATGTATAAGTTGTTCTTTACCCTTAGCATTTTACCATAGGTCAATCATCTTTTCAATGAGAGAACTCCTTAAACACAAAACCAGTTCGGAAAAAAAAATGGGATCATATTTATCTCATAGCCTTGTCCTTGAAGCCAAATGATAGCATTTGCATTTGCATAAGCATGATCCACTAAGTTGAAATTAATGAATGTTAAAAAGTTTGAGTGATTTGATTGCTTGTGAATATTGATAATTTGAGAATCATTTCCATATTGTGATGAGTGTGGCTAGGATCTTAGACTAGACTTACATCAACTGTATCACATTGGCTTGGTCTTACAATGTCATTTTCGGATATGTGTTCCAATTTTGAAACTTCTCTTCCCACTTTGTTTAGTTAGGTGGGGGGGGGGGGGGGGGGGGGGGGGGGGGGGGTGAATAGTATAGGTTTCACTTCAGTCCATCCATTTTAGGTTCAAAATGTCCCGTTTTCATCCATTTTAGACTTAGCTTGCATTAGATTTAGGATTGCATACAGCCTTGCATTTTGAGTGTAATTCAGGGATTTTGAGGAGCTAAGCAGGGCATTAGGATGATGGTGGACCAAGTGGAGAAGAGGATTCAAGCTGGAAACAAGCTTTCAAATCATCTAGAGTTCACATCATGGAACAACATCATGGAGGGGGCTGTCTAATCTGCATGGTGCGTACCATGTCTGAATGGTGATGATCGACTTGCTGGACCATAGGCTGCACCGATCAACCACACCATGGAGATTCAGCTATCCAAGCCCGATGCATGGAGGCACATGACATATCGTGGACGTGTACCGAGGAGAGCCATCCGAAGCTGTGCACGATGTGCACCATAGCCAGAACTTCAGCCGAGCCAAAGATCCGATGCAGCATTTTCAGCACGCATCGAGCAACCACGTGGTGGAGGGCCAGTTTCTTTCTTGCTCGATATGAGTAATCCGAGTTTTAACTACTTTGTTGACCTTTTATTGACTATGTTTTCTCAGTTGACCAAACCTATTTTGGGGCTTCCCTATAAATAGGCTTGGCCTAAAAACATGTTACAATAATCCATTATCTTATCTTTTCCAATTTAAACTTCCTTTGTAGCAAAAAATTCTTTTTTCCCCTCAAAAACAAACTTTGGATTTGAGGTTTCTATTTAATAAAGTTTTGCATTTGTCTATTGATTATTCTTGTTTCTTGTTTATTCATCATTAATCATGGTTAACCATACTCTTGTGGATTTAAATATGATTAGTGCATACTCAACTTTAGGTTTCAGATTAAGATAGATTAGGGTGATTTCAATAATTGTTTAAGGTGTTAGGGTGATAGAGTTTTGTTAGTCTCTTTTTGTGTGATTGTTCTTAAGGCCAAGTACCTCTCTTTTGCCTCAAATAGATCTTAGACATTTTGTTGTCATCTAGGTGTTTGACGAAATTTTTGAATAAGGTTCATTGCTAAAAAATGGTGTAGTGATTGTCTTGACTCATTGCATTTATCATTTTTTGCATGATTAAGCTAAATGCTAGAGTTTAGGGATTGAAAAATCGCCCATAGACATTGATTATGCATAGAAGTGTGAGTTGATGTTTGACCCATTGCACAAGAGATTAGCATGCTTAGCCTAAGAGATTAATTGTCTAAGGTGCTTTTTGGCTTTATGGACTTTGTTAATTAATGCTTGCTGATTGTGTTTCCACCATTGACCATGGGTTAGGAATATGATGAGTAAAGGGATTGGTGCCAAGAGATTGGATTAGTCTAAATTAGTAGTCCTTGCTTAGAGATTATTGCATTGATTGTTTCTTTTACACCTTGAGCATGATTTAGAACCACCTAAGTCAAATTGCCTTAATCTTAGACCTTGCCTTTTATTAATTCAAATTTGCTAAATATTGCTCTGTTTTGCTCTTTTTTGTTTGCCCATAATATTGCTCTTGCTTAGTTTTAAACCTATTGGTCTTTAGTGTTTATGCTTTGGTTACTTTGGATACATGTTTGCACTTCCTTGACTGTTGAGTGTGAACCATCTTTGAACCCTTTTGTTAGCCTAGCTTAGTAAAATAGTTAAATCTTTTCTACACCTCTCAAGCTTGGATTGATTACCCTTTACTATTATGCTACATCATTATTGCATGAGGATTGCACTAAGCAGCCATAGCCATAAAAACCTGCTTGTCAACTATGCGTTAATTTGATCACGACCAAACTGAGCTTTCAGCGCATAGTTGACATGTAAGATTGCTTCCTGTTCACGATTGGGATACCAGCGCGATGTCCTTTAGAAGTGGCTAAGTACATATACTTCAGATACAATTTGAAATCTTAGGCAGAGGTGAAGAGAGACGAGAGAGCAATGGATCATTGGTCAATGTTTTCTGAAATTCCTCAAAAATGTTCACAAAAGATTACAATGAACTAGGCTCAAAATGAATTTCTCTGGTTACCAAGAACTCGCTGGTATGGCCTTTGTCAAACCTCCATGGATTCTAGACTTTATTCCATTACTTCTCCTTTTGAGAGAGTTCTGATTTCTGAAACCAAAATTGAGTGGTCAAGCGTGTGGTCTAAGTCAAGAACTAGGTGAACCTTCTTCTTCTCTTTGTTTCTTGTTTTGTTTTTATTTCAAGAAACCAAAGAGTAAAATTTGCCACTTTTTGTGTCAAAGAGTAAACTTGCCACTTAAAAGAAACTATTGCCAGTAAATCCAAAGACGAGTTTTACACAAACTTAAACTAGATACAAAGACCAAACTTGCCATTAAGATAAACCCAAATATGTAGCTTGAGTAATATTACAGACGATAATGCCTCAGTTTAACAACTATAACAAACCTCATCAGTATCGTTATTTGATTAGTACTCATAAGCAGCAGTTCTCTTCATCATCCTCAAGAATTCTTCCATATTAACTTCACCATCACCTACAGTTTGATTTATGTAGTGTGATCATCACCATAAAACAAAACACCAAGCATTGCAGCACGAGAAAGAGAACAAGGTTGGAAGAAAACTTACGGTCACGGTCTGCTTCTTCAACCATCTCACGTATTTCAGCATCTGTGAAGTTCTCGCCTAAGTCCTTTGCCATGCGTTTAATATCATCAGCAGATATCTTCCCCTGGAACAAAAAGATCAATTTTGGATCAAGAAGAGAAATCAAGAATCGTAATCCTCAAAACGAAGAGAGCATTTGATTATATAATATACATTTTTGTCAAGATCAATGATCTGGAATGCTTTGGTGAGCTCTTCCTTTGTGTCTCTTTCCCCGATCTTAGCAGTCATCATATAGTAAAACTCATCGTAATCTATGGCTCCACTTCCATCTTTATCCACATCAGCTATCATTTTGTTGATTTGCTTCAAAGTTATACAAACAAGATATCAGATTCAACATTTCTTCCAGAGAGGTGAATAACAAGGAGAATTAAACAGAGAAGAAACGTATATATCACCTCTTCTGTCATTTCGAAACCGAGAGCCCTGTAAGAGAGTAAATTTTTAAGGATTCACATTTCCAAAATCATGTAATCAAGAGAGAAACATATACAAAAACTAACAAAACTCACCTCATAGCAACATTAAGCTCTTTCGCATCAATGGTACCAGATCCATCAGTGTCGAATAGCTCAAAAGCTTCCTTGATCTCTTGCCTCTTCTGCTGATTTAACCCATGATGACGTCTTGGTTTCTCTTTTCTCGAAACACCTCTGTACAAACTCGACTGCAGTATAACATCAATGCAAATCATTCAGGACAAACATCAATTCTCAATCATTTTACAGAAAAACCAACAACTAGATAGATCAATTTTACTACAAACAAAATATCACCATCAATGGGTTTCTCGCTAAAAGAGATCAACTTTTTTTGCATAAAATCTTCATGGATCTCGAAATCAGCTTCAATAAATACCCTAGAGTTCACGTATATTGAATCCCTAATTTCGAGTCAGATCTTAAAACCCAGAATGAGAAATTGTTATCTAGCAGAGCAGAACCCTCAACATCTACCAAGAAATTGCTTATCGTTACACGAAAATTAAGACAATCGAAGATACGAACCATATCTTCTGCGCCGTCGATGAAAGATGTCTCGCCTCGAAGTCTAAAAAGTAATAAAATGTTTCTCTTCTCCTAAATCAGTCGCGATAAAACTCAGGTATATTTTCTCAGACCGCCCTCTGCGATTTAGCCGGATTTTCTCAATTTGTCGTTTCCTCTTCTTCTGAAACACAGTTCCCACAAAATCACTCGGGTTGTCTTCTGGGCCTGTCATGGGCCACATTTTGTTCGGTATTTTGATTGTGTTATTTATTATATAAAATAAGATGCGTTATTAACTCACGACACGTTGTAATTTTAATCAATCAGATTTTAAAATCGCCATTAAATTCAAAATAAAATAAAAATAAATAGAATAATATATTTCAGTTCAGAAAAAGAAAAAAAAAACTAAAAACATTAAACCTAAAAAAAATATATATACATTTTGGAAGAAAACAAAAACAAAAATTAATTAATAAAATATTTATGCTGAATATTGTATATATCCAAAGTGTTTTCGATATTCAATAATTAGATAATTTTAAAATAATTACATGTAAAATTTTCAAAGCAGAATTACATGAATATGAAATCCTAGATGTTAATGAAGAGTTCAATGAAGAGGATGATCAACAAAAATTATGTAAAAAAACTTTTATATGAGTCTTGAGATGCATAACTTCTCTAGAAAGTAAAAAAATCATATAAGAAAGATGCATATAGAGAAAAAGAGAAACTTGCTTGGAAAGAGTTAATGGGGAGAGAGTTAACATAATTTAATGACTCGAATTGCATACGCAAGTTTTTAATGCACCAAAACGGAAAAAATAGTTGATAAAGTGTTGAACTACAATTAAAGTAAGTTAGTATTGCTAAGGACCCGCAACAAACTTTGTGTTTTGAATATTTTAGTAGATAACAAAAAAAATTAAAATAAACAATTTAAATTTTTATTTTATGTTTTTAATTTATATTTTTATCAATGATCTCATTTATTTTTCTATTTTTCAAATTATTTTATGAATTTAAAATTTGTTTATTATAAACCCGCATATATACAGATCTTAATCTAGTAAATTTATAATATTAATATCTCATGCATTTACATCATTTAAACTTGCATTTAGTTCATGTTTTGGTTCTCTTTTGCATGTTTTCCTTCTTTTTAATCCCATTTTCTTCTCCTTTAAGACTTAGGTTGCATTTAGGATGTAGTTTGCATTTTCTATGCATCAAGGATGTTTTTAGGTACTTATGAAGTTGAATGGAGCAAGGAGGAAGTGTGGGAGTGGATCAGGAGGCTAGCCAAGCCAAGAAAGAGAAAAAGGAGCCAAGGAAAGCAATATGTGGAAAGCCATCGATCAAGATTTGAAGGCCATCGGTCAGGAAGTGATCGATGGGATCCCAGCGAGTATACCATCGATCACATTCCTCAGGACTATCGGTCAGGAAGTGATCGATGGGATTTCAGCGAGTATACCATCGATCACATTCCTCAGGACCATCGGTCAAGAAGTGATTGATGGGATCCAACCCGAACTTACTTTTATTTACACTTTTGTCATTATGTTAGGACACTTGTCTTTTAGTATAAATAGGTTGTTCTAAGAATTTTTTAGCATCAAGCTTTGTTCTAAGTTTTATGTTCTTGCTTAGTTTTTCTGGTTTTGTAAGACAATCTATCTTTTCTTAATCAAAGTTTGTATTTGCCTTTAATCTTCTCTTTAATCTCTATCTTAATCATGTTTATCATCTTTTCTCTTTGTGACTTGATGTTTAACATGGTGATTAGTGAGTAGTTACCCTAGGATTTCTAGATGTGGTAGATTAGGAAAATGTAGAGGCTTGATTAGGGTTTGTTAGTACTTAATATGATTGATTCCTCTCTATTAATCTGTTCTTAAGCTAGATTTGTCTTGATCAAATGAATCTAGAACTAGACTTCATTTTATACCCACCAAGTGCTTGATGAAATGTTGATCTTAGTTAATAGAGGATTTACTGGCGTTAAGAAAGAGATTAAAGGCATGATCATGCTTTCTCTATGGAACTGAAAAAGGTGAAAGGAGTTAACAAAAACTGGCCAGAGTTTAAGGGCTACCAAGGAGAGAGCTTTGATGGTTGCTGATTGTCAAGACTGTTTGAAGACACCACTGAAAAGGAGGTCCTTGAAGTGGCTGGTTACAAGAATTTAAATGAAATCAAACTGGTTACTGAAGTAGGAGAGGTGGTTTTGCAACCATGTTGCTCAAGAAGTGGTGAGGTTTGCTTCAAGATGCAGCAAGAGGGGGAAGACTGTGCCTTTTGCTAAGATCAAGTTGAATGAAGTCACCACCAGAGTCAAGGGGAGCAAGATAACACCAAGAAGTTCCAAGACTCCTTCTCCTTACCTCCACTAGTGAGGTAATCAAAGTCAAGCTAAGAGACTCTAAACAAGCACACTTGGGAGGTAGTCCCATGGTATCCTTTGTATATATTATGCTTTTAAGTTTATGTTTATGCATTTTTAGTCTTTAGAAGCAGGAGTTTGGTTTGGGGCTTGAGAAGGTGTTTGGAGAAACAAAAACAGATGCATTATGGCTGCCATGATCACTTGTATCGATCGAGCCAGATCGATACAGACCTATCGGTCATGACCATCTGTCATAAGTGATCAATGGCTTTGAAGCCAGAGATGCATCGGGCAACTCCATCGATCACTTAGATCGATGGAGGAAAAGAAGTGCAAGGCTTAACTTTTATCGGTCAGCCCATCGGTCAGGAAGTGACCGATAGGACCCTATCGATCAACACCTTCGATCAAAAGTGACCGATGGGATTGCAGCGGATAGGCCATCGATCAAGGCCATCAGTCAGGAGGGACGGATAGGACACCATCGATCGCTACCATCGGTCTCAAGTGACCGATGGTCCAGCGAGGTACTATGGGGAAAACTACAACTGCTGCTGGAAACAGAGGAAAAGCACCAGAAAAAGAAGCGCCAACTTCTCCACCTACTAGAAAAGACAAGGGCAAGGGTGTTGCTGATGAGCAATCATCTAAGGCTGCTGGAAAGAGGCCAGTTAAAGGAAAGGCTGCCAAGTCCAAAGGAAAGGGGAATGCTGTAGAAGAAGTCTCATACAAGGAGCCAAGTGCAAGAGAGCTCATGGAGCACTTCAACCAATGCACTTTTAAGGCCACAAGATATCCATGTGTTTCCACAATGAAGGCGCTTGGGATCTATGGCGATTGCAAGAGAATCTTTGAGAACATGGGGCTTGGCGACTTTATGGAGAATCCACTTCCCTCCTATAAGCATCTCACCTACCAGTTTCTCTCCACTTTCAAGGTGGTGAGCTATGAAGAGAGTGAACTTCCCAATGGAGATGGCTGGATTTCTTTCAAGCTTGGCAAGCAAAGGTTCACAACAACCTTCTTTTAGCTCTCTCAAGGCCTTGGGATGCACCCTTATGCTGACAAGAGGGACCACTTCAAGATCAGCCAAAAGCAGCACAAGATGCTATGTGAAGTGATTGGGGCTGACAAATACATAGCTGAAGTCACAAGGAATCAGCATTTCAAGCATCCAGCTGTGAGATATGATCACAAAGCTATTGCAAACACAATCTTTACAAGAAAGGAGACAACCAATCTCACAGCAAGGAAGAGAGACTTCATGTACAATGCAATACAGCCAATAGTGAGCTCCAGCAAGAAAGGAGTACCTCTGGGCAGACCAGCCAAACTCCCCTATTATATGACTATGCTTATGGAGCAGCTCTACTCCTATAAAGGCTGGATATTGAATAAAGGCAAAAGGGAGAAGAATCCCCAGCTGCACATTGGAGGGATTGTTACAGCCATCATGATGGCAAGTGATGTGAACCTTGAGGAGCATAATGAAGATGCTTTGCAACCAATGTGGATAGATCTGGATTATCTCAGGAGGAGTCACTACCTTGAGAAAAGCATCCAAGGGAAGCATGTTTACAAGTTCATTAAAGGATTCAGAGAGCCAGCAAGAGTCATTCTCCCAAATCCGCAGCTCATATCCATCATCATGGGGAATAATGTCAGCTTTTTCCCAGATGAAAGTCAGCTTTACCATGGAGCCCCTTTAATTAAAGAGAGAGAAGAAGATAGTGAGGAAGCTGAGAAAGAAGAAGGTGAAGGAAACACTGAAGAAGAGGTACAAGAAGAAGCTGTTGTTGGCGCTGAAAGCCAAGAAGAATCACAAGAGGAAGAGCTAGATGAGGATGAGGTGCTGAACTATAACACTAAGAAGTTCCACTTCAAGCCTTATGAGGTCCCAAGCCAAGGAAGCTCTATGAAGTTTGCTTATGAACACATCAACAAACTTCAGAAGTGGTGTAAATGGCAAGACAAGACCATCAATAAGTTAGTGAATCTGGTCAAGGGGAAGTTCAAGAAGGATAAGTCCACATCAAGAAGAGCTTCCCATCAAAGCCATGATCATGAGTACACCTCTCACTATGAAGAGCAAGTGTCACAAGAGGAACCTAATGAAGAAGAGCCAGCTGTTTGGATGCCCAAAGGGAGACACTCCTTTCATGTGCAACCAACTGATCAATGGGGAACATGGGAACAATCAAAGGCTTCATCTTATGAACCAAGGTCCTATCCACCAACAGCACGGGAGGCGCCAGCTTACACTTCTTCTGAGGTCCACACAACATGGCAACAATGGGGTACTCAAGGCAACTC